CTTCTGTGCACACAGCCTGTGGAAAGGAGAGAATGGAAAATAAGCATTAATATTGGCAGAAGAATCACGTAAGAACGCGACTACATTGTGGTCCCATCGAGAATGGACCGGGGAAGAGACCAATAGATGCAGTTGTCATATGAAGATAAATAAAATACCTTGAGTTCTGCACCAGAAGCACCATTCATCTTTTCTGCAATTTTCTTCAGATCAATCCCGCGCATTAAATTCATTCTTCTTGAATGAATTTTCAAGATGTCAAAACGAGACTGCAATTTTTTAAAGCATGAAAGTATTGTATTTAGAAGCTACCACATGTTGTGAGCAGAAATTTGTTTCATCAAAGCATTATGAAAATGTATCCTTATGAATCACATTGCCCATTACTGGAATGAAACTGGACCAACATTCACATAACCCAAACGCACAACAAATTGCATACATAAACAATTAGACACCAGAGAACAATCATGAGGACCACCAGTAATCATTCTCCATCTTTGACCACAAGTTATCGATCTCCATTTGTGCTATAAAAGCATATATCTATGAAAAAATAGGTTTAAGCTGAATTAACTATACTAGTCAGAGGAGTTTACCTCCTCATTAGGATTTGGAAACTCGATCTTTCTGTCAATTCTCCCTGGCCTAAGAAGCGCTTGATCCAGAATATCGATACGATTTGTTGCCATCAAAACCTGTAAACAAGGAGTAGTTGAGAAAAGGTTTTGGACAACATGCATATTTACATAATGCAAGTACATAAGCATTCTAAACCCATATAATATAATACCTTGATCTTGTTTGATGCTTCAAATCCGTCCAACTGGTTAAGCAGCTCCAACATAGTCCGCTGCACCTCACTATCACCATTTCCACTACCAGATTCCATTCTAGCAGACCCAATGCTATCGATTTCATCCATGAAAATAATGGATGGAGCATGCTCCCTGAAAACAAACAATACTTGTCCACTTATTGCAAGCAAAGCATGCATTCAACAAGAATATGAAGAAAACAAACATAACACGTCAATGAAACTCCAAAGTTTCTGGGGTACCACTAGCGGGGAACATGACTTATATGCACAATACGTTTCATATCATTGCTTGCACCAAACCTCAAACATTCCATACATCATAATTACAAAAAGGTTAATAGAACCTCACCTTAATGAAGCCAAAGCCTTTTAACATAAACAGATGAATTAAGTAGGTGACAGAACTTAAAGAAACCAAAGGGAAAAAGGCTAATATGTCAACACCCAACACAAAAGAAAATATTGAAACGAAGATCGAATTAAAAGATAAAAACAAACCTGGCCATGACAAAAAGTTCTCTAACCATTCGAGAGCCTTCTCCAATGTATTTCTGAACTAACTCAGAACCAGAAACTCTGATGAAGGTACAATCGGTATGGTGAGCCACAGCCCTAGCCAAAAGTGTTTTCCCTGTACCAGGTGGCCCATACAGCAGAACACCCTATTGTAGAAGAATCAGTAGATTTAGAGACCAAAACTAACAGCCAATGCCTATAAAGTAAATTTAACCAGATGCTATAACTTGAAACCAGTTTTACCTTTGGTTGAGCTATTCCAAGACTCTCAAACAATTCAGGATGTTTAATTGGAAGCTCAATGACCTGAGAAACATATTTCAAAATTCTAATCACGCATAAATGCATAAATAACAAGAAACTACTATCCTTTATGGAACTAAGACAAAACGGAGTCGAAGAACAGTAAAGAAATTCCTAAAGTATAATGCATCAAGAAAAACCTCCTTTATCTCCTTGATTTGTTGATCAAGCCCACCAATCATGTCATATGTAGAATCTGGAACTTTTTCAACTTTCATGAGGTTGACCAAAGGATCAACTTTGCTTGGCAAGACCAAATGAAGAACATAGCTGTCATTGCGGAGAGCAACTCTAGTTGATGGGGTAATCTTTGTGATGTCAATACTTTTATCAATATCAACAACATATTTCCCTTCTGGATGAACCTGCAAAAAAAAGAAGAAACAGAAAAGCTCAAAACAAATACCCTTTACAGTACGAAGTTTCCGATAACAAAAAGTATCATCGAAGACAACTTGATACTAACCTTGACCAAAACCTTGTTTTTTCCCATTACTTTAACGACTTCACCAACATAAGATCCAGGCTCTTGAAGCAACTGCAGCTCTTCCCTAAGCATCCTCACTGTTTCATTTGAATACTTTCGTAAGATCATTGATCAAATGAAATGATTCTAAATTCACAAACTATACACTATACAAGGAGGCATATGTTCAAAATCGACCCCCCAACAAAACCAAATCTACCCCTTAACGTCATATCATATGGAACTTTAGTAAAACAAGTAATCAATTTCATCAGGACTAGTCAAACCTACTCATACTTGCTCAAGTATTTGTCCTAGTAAACCCTTTTGCTTCATCTTCTTGGTTGACCCCAAATATTAAAATCAAATAACAATAGAAAATAAGACTTTTAACCTAACCTGGATGGATTTGCTTCTGCCAACAAAATCTACAAGATATAAGTTCGCATCCAGTAACAAGTCTCAATAAAGCATAACGTTTTCAAACCAAAGTTCCCATTTTTTAAATCTCCTTTACTTTTCAAGCATTTCATTATTTCCCTTACAAAATTACATTAACAATCATAATGGGGAAATCCATCTCAACAAGTTCAAGCAAACACTGAACATACTTGGATAATCCACCATCAACTAAATTTCCATACTAACCTCTCTCCTTGAAATTCAAACTGCCCAATTCAAAAAGTTTCCTGCCCAAAGTTCACAGTTTTAAATCTCCTTTTTCTTTTCAAGCGTTTCATTCTTTCCTTACATTAACCAGAACTAAGCGATTCAGCAATTTCAAGCCGTATATATATAATTAATCTCAACAAGTCCAATAAAACCCTAAACAAATTCAGTAGTCACCATCAAAATCCCAATCGGCCCTAAGCAAACACGAAAATCAAATCCAAAAATTAGGGTTAGGTCAAAGAGACACGGACCTCGGGAGTTGAGTTCGTTACGCTGAGCCTCGAGGCGATTGAGATTGTGGGTTTTCTGTCGGACCTGGAGCTGAAGCTCGTGGATGTGCTGGAGGTAGTACTGCCGGAGACCCTCGCCTTGCTTCACGGCGGCCTTCGCCGAGCAAGTCTCCTCCGGCATCGCGTCGGCTTGCTTCGATTCCCCTCCCCCCGCCGCCATTGAAGAGGCTTCAATTGAGATTTGAGGGAGTTTTTTTTCTGGTTGGTGATTCACTTTTTTGTGCTTTTATTTCTTGCTTTTTTGCCTTGCGTAATAAGTCGGTGAATGACTGAAGGGAGATGTTCTTCTATATCACTGACTGAGATGCGATTCAATGACACGGTAACTGTGGGCTTTGTAACGGGCCTGACTAGAAGCTATTGGGCCATATAAAAGGAAACTGGGCCTGACATCCCTTTGTTAGGGAAAATTAGCCCAAATTATAGTGCTAATTACACTACATCAAAATTTCATAGCCTGCGTTGAAATTTACCAAAATTTTAAAAATATTACAAATACAGCAAAAATGACATGGTAATTATCATAATAATATCATATTCTCTGCTATATAATGATATAATTATTATTTTAATAATATAAAAATGATATAAAATTTTACTATTCTAAAAATATTTTAAAATTTTTGTTAAATTCAAATTTAAACATACTCAAATTTTACTATATGTGTAAATCTCTCTAAATTATATGAGTTATTTAACATAAATATCTATTATGAGCACTTGGGTGGTGCGGACAAATTTTCCTCAATATAGGTGGTGCGGATAGTGGCCCGTTACATACGAACCAGGTCAGGCCCATAGAGAAAATAACCCGACAGTCCAATTTTTTAAATAAAAAAAAAACCGTCAGCTAGTGCTGAAATTTTAGACGGGTCGCTTGCGATCACCTGAAAATATTGAGTTTTTACCCGAGCCCGACCCGACCCACCCAAAAAATTTGGGCCGTCCGCCCGAGCTCGAAAATGCCCTTGAATGGGCCGCAGTCTTGTATTTGGCTTCCTGAGCCCGCCTGAATAGCCCGAAATTTTTTTTAAAAAAATTTTAATTTTTAAAATTATTAAGTTATTTTGTGTTAAAATTATATAAAACCCAAAATCAACATTCAACAGACATTATTAACACAATTTAATAAATGAATTTTGTATATTAATTTTTAAATTCATAATTCATGATTGTCTTGTTAAAAATCTTACCAAGAAAAACTTAATTGGGATAAAAACTTGGCAATGAAAAAAGAGTGCAATCATTTTGTGACGAATTACAAATTTTACAAACTTACAAAGTTATACAATTACAATGTCAAAAGTAAATACATATTTACAAATTACAAATTTACAATTTAATTTGAAGCTGAAGGATCGTCTTCAAAATTAAATGTTAATCGATTAAATTCATCGATCCATTTTTGGCTTGCCGGCGAAATTGTATCCTGTAGACGTTGATCGGCCCGATCCATATCCTTAATACAGACCAAGGCTTCAACAATGTCCATTTGCAATGCATTCTGGCGTTCCTAAAGTATTCTTCGTGTCGTACTGAAGGCTTGTTCGGATGAAATAGTGGAGAGTGGGATCGAAAATATATCCATTGCCAATCGAGTTAGGATTCGCCAAGTTAATGCCCGTGCCCTCCACTATTGAAATAAGTCAAACGATTCTCTAGTACCGTCGACTACTAAGCCTTCACTGAGGTACGACATAAGCTCGTTGAAGCTGCCGCCGCCACTGCCACTTGTTGATGAAGATCCACTCCCCGCTTCTGTTTGAGTTGTCTTCTTCTTCTTCTTTAACCCGAAAACATTCAAGAATGAATGCGGGTTTTCGTCTTGTTGTTGCGGTTCCTGTACTCTAGAGTTTGTGTTTCTAAACCTAATATCATATTTACTGTAGATCGAATATATTTTTGCCTTTATTATTAGAAATTGGTCCGAACAATTGATACCTAAAAATTCACTTAAGTTTTCTAAACCACTTTCTAAACTATCTAATTTTAATCTAGGATCAAAAATAGTACCTAAACCATACAACAAATGCAACTTAGACCAATATTTTATAAATTTCTTTTCCATAGATTGGATAGGAACTCCTAATATTGGGTCCTCTCTATATTCGCTAAATAAAATACTAATTCTGAAAAGTTCACCTAAAGTTAAAAGTGATGTTAGGTAATATGTTACACTAAGTTTTAGAGTAACTTTATGAAACCTACCTAAAAATTGATACAAAACTTCGGCAATTTACCAATCATATGCGTCTATATGTCATACTCCTACTTTTGCACACATATAGTTTGTTATAGCATCCTTATAGGGGTTGCATTGTTGAAGCATTATATAAGTTGAGTTCCATCTTATAAGCATATCTAACACTAATGCTCTAAGAGGTATATTTAATGCTTGTAAGAACCTAAACCAATCTTCTTGTCTTTGATTACTACCTTGAATTCATACAAGACTATCTCTAATTCTTTTAATGTGATTACCCATTTCTTTTAAACCGGATTTAACTATTAAATTAATTACGTGACATGCACAACATTGGTGGAAAATAGTACCGTCGCCGAATAAACTTAAATCATTTTCAAAGAACTCAATTGCTTTTGAATTGACACTAGCATTATCTAATGTTATAGCCATTACTTTATCTCTTAATCTAGATTCATCAATTACGTTTAAAATTGTATTATATATTAAATCTGCGTTATGTGATCTTAGAACACATTTAAAACCTAATATTCTCTTATCTAAATCAAATCCTTTAAAGTAATGTCCGGTTACAGCTAAATAATCTTTATTGGCAACAACATACCAAATATCTGTCGTTAACGCAACACACCCGCTAGTCGAGTGTAAAATGTTTATTAATGCTTCTTTTTCTTTTTTAAATAATTTTAATAAATCTTTCCTAAGAGTAGTTTTTGAAGTGAACTGTGCATTATGATTATGTACAACCTTAATGTATCGTTGCCAATTAGGATGCTTTACAAAACTAAGTAGTTTATCTAAAGCAGCTATCATTCTCGCAACTTCCATATGATCTACTTGCGGATCGTATTTCCAAGTGGTTAGACCACCGGTCGCGTGATCAAAAGATAATTGTGTTTGACGGAGTTCGGGTCGGCCGGATTGGCTAAGCTTTTGAAGACACTTTTCAGAGTGTCTTTTCAAGTGTGTGGTGCCGTGAATGGTGTCACCTTGTAATTTAGATAAATAATATTTACACTAAGCTATATGTTTAGTGTTACCTTCATTGTCGATCTCCTCAATTGTGTCGAAGTGATCCCAAACTGTCGAGGTGCGCTTGCATTTCCTCCTAGAGGTTGCAACACTTGCAGACGCAGATGCAGTCGCACTTGCACTCTCCGCTTCTCCACTCCTACCACAATTGCGACCACGACCTCCAGTACGTCCACTAGAACTCAGATTAGTAGATTCCTGCGTAACAAATTCATTAGTGAGAAATTGTCCTTCTTCCACGTTGTGTTGGGCATCAACGGGAATACCACTATAACCAAAGGGATCTATTAAAAAAAATAAGAGCAATTTGAGAGAGAGAGCTTTAGGATAATGTGATAATTTTTAGAAAAATTATGAGAGAGATTTGAGAGATTGAGAGAAATTGAGAGGGATTGAGAGAGTTTAAGTGAGAAAAATGTGTGGGGGATGAAGGATATTTATAGGAAAATTTTTGGGTTAAAAAATTGATTTTTTTTTCAAAAATATATGGATGCAACGGCCACTTTTGGTTCGGCGGGTCGAGTTCGGGCAGAAATTCAAAAAACTAGCCGTTGGACGCGTTTTCGGGCAATCGGATAGTTTGGGCAGCTCAGGCATATCGGGTTTTTAGGCTTCAACTTGGGTCGAGCTCCAACGGTCAAAATTTTGACAGTGTTCGGGTTTTCGAGCAGTTAGGCGGGTTAGGGCAAATCGGGCTCTGGCCGGAAAATTTAAAAAAAATTCCGGCGGACGACAATTAACGACGACAACACGGCGGCGGACTCCGGAGTTTTTCCAAATTCGGGCTGTCCGAACATATAAAGTTGGACGGACCGGCAATTGGGCCAGCCAGCTGAGCCCCAAAAATTCGGGCCTCGGGCCGGCCCGCCGGCCCAAAGTTCCAACCCTACCGTCAGCTAACGGAAAAGGCAGATCCGATAGTACGTCCTGAGTACGACACTGAACGGAACGGTAGAAAAGCGGAATTAGCAGATGGGAATGGACTGGGAAAGCCCAAAACGACACTATAAAAGCAATCCACTTCTCGGCCATTGTCTTTGCGCCTAGCCCTTTGTTCTATAGCTCTGTTTATCTCTCTCTAACATTTCTATTTTCCTTTTTTTTTTTCCTTTTCTTTTTTAGATTTTTGACTAGAAACTTCAAATTTTCTTGGCGATTTTCCTCTAGATTCGATCGTTTCAGAGCCATTGTTAAGGGTTAGGAGGTGCGGATCCGCTTCAATTTTCTCAATCAATTGTCGTTTCCCACCTGTGTTCGAAATATACCGCCAAATCTCTGTACAATCATTCAGATTTCTCTAACAAAATCTCATACCGTTTGACGAATCATTTTCATCGCCAATTTCGTTTTCGCAGTTTGATTTACGCTTACTTTAAAGGAAATAGAAAAAAAAAAAAAAAGGAAATTTTTTGTTTGTGTTAGGGTTTTTTTTTGGTTGAATTTTGGAATACAGATCAGGTTAAAAAAAAAATACTTTCGTTTTTGTGGGTAAAGATTGTTTTGAGATTGTAATTGTAATGGATAAGAAGAAGTTGGCTGTTCCGCTTGTTTGCCATGGCCATTCCCGTCCTGTGGTTGATCTGTTCTACAGTCCAATTACTCCTGATGGGTTTTTCCTCATCAGCGCTAGCAAGGGTACGTTTTATATTTAGGAAAAAAAAATAAAGAAATTCATTTTTGGGTTTTCAATCACTAGATTGTATTTGGGTTATGACGTATTTTAGAGCTTGATACATTTGATTTTCTATAGAGAAAATCTGTACAAATTTTCACTGAATTGTAGTAATTCTTGTTGATATTTTGGCTTTATAGTAATGCCTTTTATTAAATAGATATGGTGTAGTAATGGCTATTGATATTTGGGCTTTGTAGTAATGCCTTCTAGTGAATAGATATAGTGGAGTAATGGTTATTGATATTTTGGTTTTGGCTTAATTGGTTTTATTGGGCAATAAAATTGTAGATTCTAGTCCTATGCTGAGAAATGGAGAGACTGGAGATTGGATTGGAACATTTGAGGGGCACAAAGGTGCAGTGTGGAGTTGCTGCTTGGATACCAATGCTCTTCGTGCTGCAACTGGTTCTGCGGACTTTTCTGCGTACGTCTCTTTTCTTTTTCACTTTCACGTGCGTTTTTGTAGTATGGTTGGTTTTATTTTTCTTCTTGACTTTTGTACTTTTTAGAAACATTGTGTATTTTGTTAGCGAAGTTCATTACTTAAAGCGATATTGTATTTGGTTCTCTGTCTGAGTCATTCTAAGTTTGCACGGTTTTAACAATGGAGAGTAGTTGAAATGCATGTGTATGTCTTGATATCGTTAGTTTTGACGCGTTTGCCATAGTTTACTTATGCATATCGGTAAAGATCTATAGGTTATTCTTTTTTTCCTTTCTGGGTAAGATACTTAGTTCTTGAAGGGGTGACACGTACTCACAGCGTATTTAGTATCTACTACTTATTTCTTGAAGGGGTGACACGTACTCACAGCGTATTTAGTATTTACTGTTCAATAAAGGAATCAAATACTTAATTCCTGTAGGCCCCACAACAAAAACAGGAGTTTAGTTCCTATTTAGATAAACTTTTCTGGAGGGACTCGGTCGAAATTAAGTTCCGGATTTCCCCTTTACTACTTTAACTGATAAAAAATGATGAAAGGTTATTTCAGTAATCTACTTTTTTTTTTCCTTCTCTTAACTTGGTAAATATTGAATTCCTTACATTTCAATTCCAAATTCAGTTCCTCAGGTTAAATCCAATTTTACGGACTAGTAAATGCGCTACTGAACAAATGCTTTACTTCTAACCATACATCCCATTGTCTTATTTATCACATTGTCCTTGCATAACATATTTGATTCTGTGAGTTGTACCAGATTATGGAAGCTTCATTTGTCCTCTATTTTTCACCATTCTCATTTGTTTCAGAGTTGAAAATTATGATTCTAATTTATAGATGGTGTTTGATTTCTGTTTGCTGAACTAAAAACCATTAAAGATGGTTAAATGGACTTTGTTTCAGTCTTTATTCCAGGCCTTCTACTTTTTACTGTATTTTTGGATATCTCATAAAACAGTAGAGAATTCAAATCCCAATGAAAGAGAAAAAAACAGCATTATGTATCATGGTGGAGTTACAGTATAATGTACATTGTGCGTGTGTTTTTTTTTTTTTTAATGTACTATGTTGAATTAACGTGCAGAAAAGTTTGGGATGCATTAACTGGGGATGTACTACATTCTTTTGAACATAAGCACATTGTTCGAGCCTGTGCCTTCTCTGAGGTAGCTTCTCCCTCCAAACTTGCGCCTATTTGGAATAGTTACCTTTACTTTAGAAATTTCTTTGAATTCAGAGTGGATTTGTGTAGGGTAATGATGTAGGACCAGATAGAATAGAAGAACAGAGATAGAATATAGAGAAAGAACAAAATCAATAAGGAGAAACGGAACTAAGATAGAGAAGAATAATCAAGAGAGAGATAGAAATCCAAGAAGAACAAGAACTCAAAAGGGAGAAACCAATAATCTTAATATCATTAATCATCAAAAGCCCTTTTCAAAATAACAACCACTAATCTATTTATAGGGAATGAAATCCTAATCCTATTCTAAAAAGAAGATAAACATAAAATAAATTTAAAATAATAAAAATAGATAAACATAATCCTAATATTGATTATTTTGTTGCTTGTTGTGATCAAAAGATTTGCATGTTTCAGTGTAAGATTACTTGCAAGATATCACCACTAAAACATAATAGCTCCAAAACAATCACCGTCTATCTAATATTATGTTGGGATCTTAAGAATTTTATTTTGCTACTCCGGTCTTAATTTACTTGTCTGAGCTTACACACACACATTAACACAACACGTGTGCATGTACACAAGTATATGTAATTTGTTTGGTGATTGAGTATTTATCTTTTGATGCTAATTGACTGGATTGCAGGATACACACCTTTTACTGACCGGTGGGTTAGAAAAAGTTCTTCGCATCTATGATTTGAATCGGCCAGATGCTCCTCCCAGGGAAGTGGATAAATCCCCTGGTTCAATTAGAACTGTTGCCTGGCTCCACAGCGATCAGACAATATTAAGTTCTTGTACTGATTTGGGGGGTGTCAGGTATGCATATCTTGAGAAAGAACTTGACATTCAAAGTCTTATCAGTCTTATTTTAAAGGTCTGAATGGTTTATTATGCTTGCCCTGGTTTTATAACCTTTGTAGTGACTGCTGACTGTTGACCATACAGATTATGGGATGTAAGGAGTGGAAAAATAGTTCAAACTCTTGAAACCAAGTCATCAGTCACTAGTGCTGAAGTGAGTCAAGATGGTCGGTACATAACAACTGCTGACGGATCTACTGTTAAATTCTGGGATGCAAATCAGTAAGTCAGGAACTCAAATGGTTTCATATTTTATGGTAAAGTTTCTTCTTGCTTGGTTTATGATGTTTTGTATTTGTTTCCAGTTTTGGCTTGGTGAAAAGCTACGACATGCCATGCACAGTGGAGTCGGCTTCACTGGAACCAAAATATGGGAACAAGTTCATTGCCGGGGGAGAAGATATGTGGATCCGTGTATTTGATTTTCACACTGGCAACGAGATTAGTACGTGCTCCAATATAAATTCATTTTCATCTAACATATATGGAGAAATATTTTTTTACCTGAAAGTAGATTTGGCTCTTTTGTTCTTTTAGCCTTAGTTGAGGTTTCTAATTCTGAATTCTTTTATTTTATTTGGGTGCAGCATGCAACAAGGGTCACCATGGTCCCGTTCATTGTGTGCGGTTCTCGCCTGGAGGGGAATCATATGCCTCGGGATCAGAGGACGGAACAATTAGAATATGGCAGACTGGCCCTTTGACCAATGAAGACACAGAAGTGCATGGAGCAAACGGATCAACTGGAAAGGTGAAAGTAATTGCAGACGAGGTCTCACGCAAGATCGAAGGTTTCAACATTGCAGATGAAGGGAAGTCTGGAGACAAGGAAGAGGCAGGAAACGAGTGATATTGGCCAAAGCACATAAAGATACAGTCTAGACTATTCTGTTTCTTCTTTTTGGTACCAATTTTTAGTTGCTTCTCATGTCAAGTTTGCCCTATAAATTTAGGTGCTTTCTGTTGCTTTTGTTCTGGCAGAATGTATATGCGACGACAACTATATATCGTTCTTGATCTGAACAGGTTCAAAGCTTTTGAAAATCAATAGAATTGGAAATGTTTTGGTTTTTCAACTCTATCTTATTATTCCTTGTGTTATTTTTGCTTCTGTTGCTCGCTCTTTATTTTATTTCCCTTTACCGATCTGAATTGCAGTTTTGCTTTGACAACTTGTGAAAGTTTCACTTCGAGCTTGCATTACTGTATTCTCATATAAAATTATGTCACTAGAGTACGACATAATATCTATTGATAGTCTGATATTGTATATTTTTACGCTTTGCAGATGATAAATTCTCCTAGAATAAACAAGACTGAGATATGATGAAGTTTTCATTGTCAATGCTCAGTGGCATTTATTTCATGAGCAGTCCTTCAAATCCTGCCATGTGGGACTCTGTGAAATGAAGGGTCCTGCCTTCTATGATTCGGGCCTCGGGGTTTCCAGTCCTACATAATTTATCTAGAAAAAATAAGAATTTATTTTTAAGAGTACACGAGTTTAGATTTTTACTCTTTATTCTTAATAAATGTACTTTTATTAGTGTAATTATTTAACTAAAAATGTTATGAATTAAAAGTAAAGAGTAAAAATCTTAATCTATGCACTCTTTAGGGATATTTGTCAAGATTACCTTAATATTTATTTTTTTTAAAGGTAAGAATATCTGTTGTTTTTTTTTTTCCCTAAATAACATATAATACAAAATATTGAGAGTAGAGTGAGTATTTTTAAAATATCAATTTATTTTCCTTTCAAAAAAAATTAATCTATTTCTGGTTATTTCCCTTTTTCAAGGGGATAATATATTCACAAATTTCTCAGTTAAAAAAAAAAAGAAACAAATTTCAGCTTATACAGCTGCATACGATAGAAAAAATCTAATCTTGATGAATAACTAGTTCCACTAATAAATTTGAATAAACAGTTTAAAAGGAATAAGTATCAAATTTTGAAACCTTACACTCAACAAGACACAACAATGATAGAGAATGAACATGATTTTTTTAACAAATCCTCTACAATTGATGGAATCATATCGATCGCCCATGGCACAAATACCACCTAACAACGCTAATATACAAACATAATAGATAATCAAATACTAAGAAACAACACAAATACACCAACAACACGAAATAAAAAGTATCGTTATTACAAAAAAAGAAAAAAGAAAAAAAATACACCCAAACTAAAAAGATAGATCCCGGCACCGTCATTAAACGACTCCGGTAAGGAGAAAAGGGTGAAAGAACCACTTTGGAAGCCTAAAAGCTTCGAGAAACACACAACAGGGTCAAAAAAATGTCGTCAAACTACAGCACTTGAACATCACACACCGCAATCGCCATTGAAAAATGAAATGCCACCTCCATAAGAAGCTTGCTACCACATAGAATTAAACCCCAAGGAAGTATAGCCATTGACTGATGGGAGCACAAGAATTATAGGTCGAAGCAAACGGCAGCCCACCTCCACAACAAGTTGGGTTTGCCCCATCAAAGGCGCTGCTCCACTCAGCGTCACCTTGACGGAGAATGTTAAAATATAAAACTATTGTTAGCCCACCTCCTAATAGCTTAAGCTTTTGGGATGGATTAGTAAACTAACATGGTATCAGAGCGGGAGGTCATGAGTTCAAATCCCCGTAATTGCACTCTTTATCCATATTTAAATTGTCATCACGTGTTAGGTCTTTAATATATCTCGGGCTTAAATATTCACATGTTGGGCTTTCTAATTAATTTACCCACACGATTGTCCACTGTCTAGCCCACACGTGAGAGGAAGTGTTAAAGTATAACTCTAACGGTATAAAATATTAAAGATTTTTTTTAATACGTTAATATACTATTAAGGTAAATTTTATATTTATCCAATTTATATAAATTTACATAAAAATTAAAAAATACACAAATTCAATAATTAAAAAAACTTACTAATCAGTCAAAATGTTATCACGTTGTGTTAGGAGCTTCAAGGGACCAGCTTTCCCAAATTAAAAATAAATAAATAAAAAACCAAAGAAAAAGAAAAGTCAGGATAATTACCATTATCGTAAATTAACAAACATAGGAGGGTCAGTTCCGTCATTGGGAACCTCGAATAAGTAATCCTCCTCCGAGGTTCACTTGGACCATTTAACGAGTCTTGCAAGGAAAGAGACCCTTTTTCTCCCGTTTCTTCATTCTCTCTCTTCTTCAACTATCTTTCTAGAGAGAGAAAGTAAGAGAGTAGTTGTGTTTGAGTTCGGGAATTTTTTGAGTTCGAAGAAGAAACCTTTTTCGTTTGTTTTTTTATTTTTGTTTTTTGGTTTTTTTTTTTGTTTTTGTTTAAGGGAGATGTCGGGGAAAGGGGCGAAGGGTCTGATTACGGGCAAGACATCGGCGGCAAACAACGCCAACAAAGACAAGGACAAGAAGAAACCCATCTCTCGCTCTTCTCGTGCCGGTCTTCAGGTTTATCAATATTTTCTCTCTCTTTCTTCTTTCTGGGTTTTGATTTGTTCTTCTTTTGCTTCTGGATTATATTTATGGGTTTTTGAATCTTTTTCTAGAGACCCCAAATTTTTGAGAATGGGGTTGTGTTTTTCTGTTTGTGCTTTGCTCCCAGAAGAAAAAACAAAAAGAAAAAATAAGCTGAGAGAAAAATTGTTATTCACTTTTTCTGGGACTTTTTTTTTCCTGGTTTTTTTTTTTTAATTGTTCATAGATAACAATATTGTTGAGCTAACCCTAACCACTGGTTTTACCTGTTCTACTAAGTTGGTTGAGTTCTTCATGTTTTAGAGACAAAAAATAATATACAATCTTGTATAAGTATCACATCTCAGATTGCTTATACCTTGAATGGAATTTATAACTTAATGTATTCAAACATTTTTGTTTTATGTGAGCCTTTTCTTAACTAACAACCATGTGGACGGTACTCGGTTTCGATTGGGTAATTTTGTAGATTAATATGAAAGCTTTGTATGTTGTTTTGATAATTTCTATGTGAATTTTCATCCTTGCAGTGTGGACATTGTAATTTGAGATTTGTCTTGGTTCAAGTTCTAGCTAACTTGGTCAACCTCGTGTTTGGTTTCTAATAGAGTAGTTTAGCAAAGCCCGAAAATAGTCCTTATGGTATGTCTGCTTCATTCTTTGATTTGTGGAGACTATAAAAATTGATCTCGTTGATGCTATTACGACTTAAGAGACTTTTTGCCGAGGCAACTAGATGTTGTCTTTTAAAATTGAAATGAAACGTTTATTCTCTTCTTCAATATATATATATATATATATATATGTATGTATGTATATGTGATTGAATTCGAAGAATGAAATTTTTGTGACCTTTGAAAAGCCCCTAATTTTATCAATTTACATCGACTTAAACTTTCATGTTCTCTAATTCTACAGATGAAGATGTTTTTTACCTGTAATTATTGATTGTGTTAGACATTTCAACCCCAAATGCATATTAACAGAAACACTACTTTTTGATCATATGAACGGCTTACAACTAGTCTACCTCTCTTTTTCCTTCCTTTAATACACACAACTAAATATCGACTTCTCGGTTATAGTGTAGTCTGTACTGATATTGATGAACTAGTAATATCTAGTTTTTTCTCTTTTATGCTCTGGGCCTAATTTGATTTTCAAAATTGCTCCTCTGCATGTTCTTCCAAACTCCAGAAGCTTATTTTCATCTCTTATGTTTCCATGTAAACTTGAATTTAATGGAATACCTCTTTGCATACTTGCATGGTAGCTACCACTTTGGATGCCTGTGAGATTGTGTTACATTGTGCGCCGTGATTAATTTGCGCAATTCCACCTAGAATGTAAAGAACACACACATATCTTGTAGCGATTTTCACTGCCACTTCATGGTGGTTTTTGTTTTGTTTTGGTGTTCTTTTTTTTGTTCTTTTCCATTTTCAATTTGTGTACTTCAAATCCATTTGTCTTAGATTTATGCTATGGCTAATGAATAATAGAAGTGGAAACTAGTAGATACTGTATAATGTCAATTTGTCAATTTTGTTGGTATAAATTCTGCCATAAACAATATTATTATCATAATCAGAAGATTCTATCCCATTCATGAATTGGTTGTTTGATGTTGTTTGCAGTTCCCAGTTGGTCGTATCCACCGTCTTCTGAAATTAAGGACAACATCCAATGGGAGAGTAGGAGCTACTGCTGCTGTTTATTCTGCGGCGATCTTGGAGTATCTGACCGCAGAGGTGTTGGAGTTAGCTGGCAATGCAAGCAAGGATCTCAAGGTGAAGCGCATCACTCCCAGGCATCTTCAGCTTGCCATCCGTGGAGACGAAGAACTCGACACTCTGATCAAAGGAACCATTGCTGGTGGAGGAGTGATTCCTCACATTCACAAGTCACTCATTAACAAGTCCTCGAAGGAGTAGGCTTCATAACGGACCAGACCGTTTCTTCTGCTATGACTGAAATCATGAATTCTCTTTTCTTTCGGTATTTTAGAGCAGGATCATGCAGTTAATTATGTTCTTAATTTGTTTTTAGTGGTACTTGATCTTCTAGATACTCATCTTTTTCAGCTGATATCTTGTTGTGGATAATGTCCTTAATATGACATTTTTTTTTTCTTTCCTTTAACCTTGGGTTTACTCTAGAAATCAGTTTCTCCTGTATGTTTCCAAGTCAGAAGTCACGGGTATTGTTCTGAATTTTCAGTTTTACCAAACGGCGTGTTATGACTTTTCTACGTGATACTTTGGAGTTATTAGATTCCTTGAATTGTACTATTCAGTTTAATGCAAACTCCCAACTACCCCCACTAAACAAACTCCAGCCCTTCGGTGTCGTGAACCAAGTACTTCCAGCTTTGAGCAGCCGTGTTCATCTCAATAGAGCTACTTACAAAAGGTGGATCTCGCCAGATGGGTACGCAGAACTCTCTATTATTTTGTAAGTGATGAGGTTTTACAGGATAAAAATAGTAGAAAATAGGCCAATATAAAAAGCGTAAGAGGTTAATTTTTAATTATAAAAATTAATAGGTTATAACTTATCAAGTTATAGATAAATTTGTTAAGTTATGGTTCATAATCAGATAAGTTATGGACAATTATGAACAATAACTTATCAAGTTATGGTTCATAACCAGACAAGTTATGAATGAAAACAGTAATTTAACTTATTTATTAATTTATGTAAACTATTGGCTAATTAATTTTAATTCATCTCAAATTTTGGTCTACTTCTCTCTTTTTCCCGATAATTTTTCTTTAGCTTTTTATTGATTGCCCTGTTCCAAGGGGTCCTTTGGGTCGGGGGTAAATGCCCTAGAGCATCAGTGGCCATCCACATTAAAAAAAAAAAGAAAAAAAAGAAACAAGAGCCCTGAGGCTTTAAAGGAAACTGCTATAACTTTTAAGCTTAGATTGGCATATGTCAATTTGTCTTTGCAGAGAATATCACAATCACATCATCACTATATTTAAAATAAGAATTATTATTTTACAACAAAATTCAAAAAAAATTTAAACTCGAGTTATAATTTTATTCAAGTTCATATTCTTTTGTAAAATTTGAGTTTGAACTCGAATTTGAGGCTAAACTTGAATTCAAGTTTTCCCTTCAACTCGAGTTCATAAACTCAAACTCAAATTAATGAATAATATTTTTTCTATTATTAAAAATTTCATAATTTTGTCGTTTTAATTTTAATTGAGATGATTTTTTTTCTATACATTCACAATGAAAAGACGAATAAAATCACACATATATACCCTATTAAAATTTTTCATCACCATTGAGTTTTTACTAAAATACTATATAACTACAAATTTAAGTTTTAATCCACTCTAACACAAACTCAAAAAGATTCTCAATTCAAATCATAACTCAAATGTGCACATTCAAACACAAACTTAGGGCCCGTTCAATCAGGTGATTCAAATTTTTAATTCGAATTTAGATGTGACTTTATGTGAGAGCTTTTTACTGTAGTAAAAAAAGTTAAATGTGACTGTTTCTGAGAGTTTTTTACTGTAACAAAACTCAAGTTATAACTCAAATTCAATTCAAAATTATCAATCAAATCACCATAACTCAAAAATACAAAAAAACAACCCCCAAATATATTTTTAAAATACTGGTCTGTATCCGACTACAGTATCACTATCTCACTGAGATACTCGCCGATATCTGGTCACAAAAGGAGTTTCTTATCGAGATACCCGGCAGTATCCGACAGACAACCGCCAAAGGTACCAGAATATCGGTATTTAGTTACGATACTAGGCAGTATCCATCGCAATACAAGTTATCAATCGGTGACCACTGAGTCACCGATCGGTAACCATCGAGTTAATAGCCCGCACCGCCCACAACAGCCAAAACCCGCCATTAGTAACGGTGGCCAACCGAAAAACCAAATAACACGTGGGAAAAAAAAACAAAAAACAAAATCACAGAGAAACTGTTGACGGTGTTTTTCCGACAACTCGTAATTACCTCTTCAAAAACACTCACAGTTCAATCAAAGATAAAAACTGAAAAATAATGTAAAGGAGACCGTTATTTTATAGTGGTTCGGCAATAACTCTTTGCCTAATCCACTTGTGTATGCACTAATATTTCAACCGATTACAAGCTTTTTCTTAGTAATGAAATGATGTCTAACCCTTTTCTGGGTGTTCTGTGCTCTATTTATAGGCCTTTATAAGTGACCTTGCCTTCCCCGTTCTCAAGGAGGAAGCCATCTTCCATCCTCAATATGCAGGAGGGTATGTGAGTTTTCATGATAACAATATCAGAAAATGTGGCTGACTCCTCTCATCTGCCGCCCGATTTACTGACTCCTGCAGTAGTCATTGGATCGATGCTTTCTTCCTCGAGTTGACAAGACTGTTGACGGGTTTGACTCGGCAGGATGTCTCGACGTAGTGGCCCTCAGAGGTTGAGTCACTATCCTCGACGCCTCTCTTCACGTGCGATCTCTCGACGTAAAGGGCACCTTAGCTACAGCCGTTCTCTCGACACCAGCGACCGATTCCCAACAGGGAGTCTCGGCGCCTGTCGTCGAGAGAGTGGTCGATTTCTCGACCACGGCGTAACAGAAACATTCACCTGGAACCACCATCATCAGACTGTACTTCCAAAAAAACGTACAAAAATTACAAAAGTATCAACAAAAGCACAAATAATGTATAAATTCACACAAAAAATTCCAATAAAATAATACCACAACTCCATAAAATCCAGGTAAAATTTGAAAAAAAAAAACAAAAAACATATTCAATCAGGCCTTGGTTAGGAGATCAACGAGAAAGAGTTCGCCAACTCCACCACGGAGGAGATCTGGCCTCAAAACTTCGAAGGAACTTGCCATCTCCACAACGTCGAAGAGATCTTGCCTTCCTTGGTGCCGGCGTTGGGGAGGCGTGAGGGAGATTACCAGATGTTTTGGCACCTTTAATCATTTGAGCCGAAGAAGTTCTAGCTGATTTGAGATCTCATCGCAGCGGCATCGTTGTCGAGGGTGGGAAGCAAAACTCAGATCGACATCTGAAATATTCGGTGCTCTCCTCGACGCAGATCGACGTGGACTTCGACGGAGAATCTCGCCGGTGAGAAGGAAGATGGCCGACAACAGTGAGAGGGAAAAGAGCAAAGAGAGAGAGAGAGAGAGAGACGACGGGGCTGGGCTTGGAGAAAAGAGAGAGAAGAATGGAGGAGAAAAGAGAGAGAAGAATGGAGGAGAAACAACAAATTGGGCTGAGAAGAAAAGAACCGTAATTGAAGTGAGGATATTTTAGTCTTTTTCTCCCAAATTTTGTTCTGCCATATGGTAGAAAAACTGACAGTTTTCCCCCTGTATACATGTCGATCAACATATGTTCTTCGTGGCATTTTTCTTGAATATCTCTCCGAGGATTGCATGCCTTTTCGAGGAAAGCTCGACAGGTAAGGATTGATATAATAAACGATTCGAAATGCGTATAACATTATTTTTTTTATTAAAATTTTATTTTTGTTATTGCTATTAGCAGTCATTTATAAACTCCAAAAGTCCTAGGTCAAGTAAATTAAATAAAAAATTAAGTATAGTAAAAAAAAAAAGATAATTATTACTGCCAAATTACACTTTTATGTGATTGTATAAAGAGAAGTTAACAGAATAAATTAAGGCAACTTTTTAATCAAGGCATCGTGTTTGGATTGCCATCTTCCGACAACTTTGTGAAGTGAATCATATTTGACTTGATGTTTTCCAGCACAATTAGTAAATAAGTCAATAAAAATGACCAACTAACAAGAATTACAATCCCTACTCGCTAATCACTATATTGGCAAAGGGTCCGCAAGTTGGTTAAAGGGAAAAAGGACGCAGGGTCAAGGGGATTATTCTAGAAATTATACTTTTGAGTACGTCCGAATTGTGCTTCTTGTTTCATTTCTCTTGTTTTTATCCTGTTTGTACTTTGTTCTGTTGTACTGTTATTTTGTCGTTGATATTCTACCAAGGAAATAAATAAACAAACAAACAGGCCTTAGCTGTCATTCCACTCACTTCCCATTTTCTGCGATGAAGATCAGATAGGAAGATTTATGTGCTCGGAAACAAAATTGCATTATCTGTAGCTTTTAAGTTGTGCTATGCTTGGTGAAACACAGAAACAAAATCCACACTAATTCATTCATAGTTCAACAGAAATAATGAAAAGAGCAAATAGATAATAAATTTAGTAGGACCTTCCAATTCCATCATCATAAAAATCCGTCACAAATGTTCTACAATCTAGCAGTGAATAAACTCGTACAATTATCCTATTTAAAATGCTCAAAATGTAGTCAACTAGACTAGACTGCCAAGAATCCAGAAATCCAATAACTCCATAGAATGCCACACAAATCCCACCACCCCAAATAAATAAATGTTAATTAATCTTGCTCTCATTATCCCCAGAGACCATCATTAGGAAAGTCAACAAAACATTTCAACCAGACAAAACCTCATCCAAACAAACAGCATCATCAACAAAAATACAGTGACACAAGAATGACTATGAGGAAGTACCAAATTTGAATTGATGTTTTAGATGGCAGACACCTTTGGAACCTCTACTGGGAACTGATGGATCTCGTCCATCCATGGGTTCTTTTCCTTTGCTGGGTTTATAGTCCTTAAAGCCTTCCAGACAGCACTATTGCACTTGAACCCTGACCCGAAAGCTATTTGCCATGTCCTATCTCCTTTCTTCATCCTCCCCTTGGCTTCGGAATAAGCCAATTCGTACCAAAGAGAACTGCTTGAAGTGTTTCCAAATCGATACAGGGTCATCCTTGATGGCTCCATGTGCCAATCAGACAGCTGCAAGTTCTTCTCCAATTCGTCCAAAACAGCTCTTCCTCCGGCATGAATGCAAAAGTGCTCAAAGGCTAGCTTGAAATCAGGGATGTAAGGCTTGATCTTCTTCTTAAAAAGTTTCTTCGCAACCAATGTAGCAAAGAAAAGTAGCTGCTCTGACATTGGCAGCACAAGAGGGCCTAATGTGGTGATGTTGGTCTTCAAAGCATCACCTGCCACTGCCATGAGTTCCTTTGATAGAGAAACACCAATTTTCCCATTGGAGTCTTCTTCTTGGGTAACACAGGCAAAGCACTTATCATCAGCACCCTTGTGAGTACGGACTGTGTTCACCAACTGGTATTTTGATCTTCTTCTGTCGGACCTTTTGTTTGAGAGGAGTATAGCAGCCCCTCCCATTCGGAATAAACAATTCGACACAAGCTTTGATCGATCGTTACCAAAGTACCAGTTCAATGTAATGTTCTCCATGCTGACAACCAGTGCGTAGGAGTTGGGATGGACCTGAAGAAGATCCTTAGCCAGGTCAATCGAAAGAAGACCTGCACTGCAACCCATTCCACCAAGATTATAGCTAATTATATTCCCTCGAAGCTTGTAATGATTGACAACCATCGCCGAAAGTGATGGAGTTGGATTGAACAAGCTGCAATTCACAACCAAGATTCCAATGTCCTTAGGTTTCACTGAGGTCTTCGCCAATAGCTCATCAATTGCACCAAACATCACAGCTTCAGCCTCTTTCCTCGCTTCTTTCATCGATGGGTTTGGAGGAATGTTGAGCACAGCCTCTGGAAGGTAAGTCGAATCCCCAAGGCCAGATCTCTGAAGGATCTTGTGCTGGAAGTCAAGATTCTCCTCTGTAAAAGTACCAGTCATCCGAGACTGGTCCATGAAAATCTTCTTCGTGCATTTACGGGGTTCTTCTGGTTTGTAGCAGGAGAAGTTGACAAGATACACAGGGCGAGGACGGGTGAAGAAATATAGCGTGCACAGGAAAACAAGGAGGGTCGAGCAAATGATAACTGAAATCAAGTTGAATTGGAGATGCTCCCAGAGATCATAAAGATCTTGGAGCGAAAATGTCGAAAGCTGAGCCACAATTACAACAACTAGAGGGGAAAGGAAGAGGAACATTCCATGGGTAATAAGGTAATGGTAGCCGAGCTTAACATATTTTAGTTTGACGGATTTTTTGAAGTCTGGGAGGTTTCTTGAGGATGATGATGATTGTGGTGGAATCAAGGGGGTCTCTGGTTTTGGATCACTCATTGTTCCCCTGATGGACATTTCAACAAATTAAGGATTTGGGTCAGAATAAAATTCAATAAAACTCCATAAATTGCAGTCAATCTGAAAGGCACAAAATGGAGAAACTAAATTGAAATCAAAATGATGTAAAAAGTTACATGGGTACTAAATTGGAAGAAACAAAAAATGGAGGGTTTTTTTCTTTCCTTCCTCAAAACATTCGTCAATCTACATCAACAACAAGTTTCAAAAAAAAAAAAAAAAATCTACATCAACAACTAGAAAAGAAATTCTCTGATTTACCAATTTAAAGAGTACAAAAGCTATATAATTCTATCTCTCTAGCGGATGAAATCCAGCCACATATCAGCAATCCCAGATCGGAATTTTCACATAAACAGCATAATGAGGAAAAAAGAACAATACCCATTTTTCATATTCACCTCAAAGTATTAGAACATTCAACAAATTGAAAAAATTCATATCATGAAATGAAACAAACATGAAAAAAGAACACAATGAAAAATCTCAAAAGACGATCCCAGATTCAAAAACTAACCTCTAGAAGCCGAGTTCCACCACAAACCGCAGGAATCTCGCCAGAGAAACCAAAGGGAAAGGCGCGAGAGAGAGAAAGAGAGCTAAATAAAAAGGATTAATTATATTTAAAAAAAAAAGAAATAAAAAAAAGAAGAGAGACAAAACAGAAGTAACCGGTAATAAAGAATTTGAAATTCAAATAAAATGTATGATAACATGAATTGGAATTAGGAGGACTAGTAGTGCGTGGTGCGTGAAGGGGGAGAATTTATAGAAGTGGAGGAGACAGGAGACACGTGGATTGTTGGATTCTTGTTTTCATCAACCAGCAACGCATTTGCATTTTGCATTTCCATAAACGACGCCATTCACCACGCGTTTTGTCAAGGCGGCGCTTTTTCATTATTCTTCAATTTTATGACTTTTTTTACAGGGGAAAATTTTGACCATTCTTTATCATACCACCTAACGGTTCTAGTCTTTCCAAGTTATCTCGGAAAGGAAAAAAATGCAATCGGTTATTTGACTTTGGTAGAACGCGTTTTCTTTTTTTCTTTTTTTTTTTTCAAAGAGTTTTTTTAGTAGGTCTTAAAAAAGATGAACTACGGAAAAATTTATGTTTCTATTTGTTCTATATATTTTTAATTTGATATAATTTTAACGAAATCTTACAGTTAAAAACTGATTATATCGATAAGAAAATCATATAAAAAAAAACTCATTTTTTTGGTCGATAGTAGAGTATGATTTGTTTCTAGCAGATTTCTATAATAGTTTTTTTAGCATATTTCTATAATAGTCTTGAAAAAAAAAAACTATAAGTAGGTCTTTGTTTCGTTAAATCTGTATAACAAATTGTATGCTTTGATTTAAAAATAATAATAATGTGATTTTAACTATATCTAATAGTCAAAAACATGTAATACCCATATCAAATCCTACCATAAAGGACCATTGTTTTTAACCATTTGATGATATTTTGATGGAAGTTCTCTCTACTTTTAAGAACATTGGCGTTCTTACTTAGCAACCGTTAAATTTGTGTTATTTTTTCAATCTGAAATTTAAGATTTAATGGTTGATAAATAAAAAACACCGATATTTAAAAAAAAAAAAGAAACACCAAAAAAAGTCTCTGATTATAATTTGTTAAGGACTACTTCTTTCTATAACACTAAAAAATGTGTTTTTTTAAATAGTATTGATTTTTATTTTTTATAACACAGTAATCTATACATACTTAGGCTTCGTTCATTTCACCGATTCGAGTTTTCAGTTTTAGGTTTCTACAGTAAAAAGCTCTTAGAAAATGTCACATCTAACTTTTTTTGCTACATTGAAAAGCTCTCTAAAAATGTCATATCTCAGCACGAATTAAAAACTCGAATTCGCGAAGTGAACGAGGCATAATAAGTTTTTTAAACCTATTGTAGCGGCTACAGTGATTTTGACCAAAACACTCGTTTTGGTTAAAATGAGCGTTTTGGCTTTGAGTTTCTTTATTAATGCTTATTGTTTCCTTTACATATTCTCTTTTTTCCTTTACTATTTTCCTCAAAATTTTATATTTTTTGTTCCCGCCCTGGTCTAACGGTTATGGTCTTTCCAAGTTATCTCAGAAAGGGGTAGAGCACTTTTATTTAAAGTCTATTTAAAAAGTATATTTAAATTATGATTTTTTATTTTAATATTTAAATTTTAAATTTTTTAAAAGAAAAAAATTATAGCAAAATTAATGATTTAAATTTGAATATACGAAACAAATGAGATCTAAGAGTTTTTCTAATAGGTCTTGAGAAAATGAACTATAAAAAAAATTGTGTTTCTATCTATTCCGTATACTCTTTTAATATGATATAATTTTCACAAGATTTAACAGTTAGAAACTATTCCTGTCAATAGGAAAGTCATACTAGAAACTCTTTTTTTTTTTTTTGATAGATAGTAGAGTATGAATTCCTTTCTAACAAATTCCTATAATAGGTCTTGAAAGAAACGAACTATAAATAGCTCTTTGTTTTGACATGTATGTATAGAAAATTGTATGTTCTGAGTTTTTTTTTTTAAAATTAATATGATTTTAACTAAATATAATAGTCAGAAACATATACTACCTGTATCAAATCCTAGCCTAAAAGGACCATTGTTTCTAACCATTTGGACACGTTTGTTTAACCGTATTGTATAATAATATATTAATACAATGTTTAATGTGATCATCGTATTGTATAAACTAATACAAATGGTAAATTAATACGGTCTATGTCGTATTAATAAATACGACTAATTTTTTACATACTGTATTATATTATTCTATAGCGGATCCATGATTCATGTCGGGATTAGGCACGACAGGAAGTCGGGGTCGGGCCGACATAAAGTCATGTCAGAACCTATAATTGTTTAAAAATTGAGGGGTATAATGCATTTTTATATATTTTTAAAAAATTACATTTGACCCCTCAATTTTTGCAAAATTACATTTAACCCTAAAATTCTTTACAAATCTACATTTTGACCCAAACTTTTTATAAAATTATGTTTTGACCCTAAAAATTTTAGAAAATTATTTTTTGACCACAATATTTTTAAAAAATTACATTTGACTTTAAAATTTTTAAAATTTTACATTTTAACCCTTTATACAATACGCATAACACTAAATACCGTATTGTCTTATGATAATACAACACAATACAACATAATATAATACACCTTATACAATACAATACAATACAAGCTATCAAATATGGCCTTGATGATATTTTGATTAGATTGACGTCTATGTGACATGGTCACACAATAATCAACTATAAATCCAACCCAAAAAATAATTTATTCTGATTACAATAACTTTTTATACTACACAAAATAATAATCTGTGGTGATTATTTAAATAACTTGAGCTGATAGTGATTGAAAGAACTAAAATTAATTATTGTGAAATAATGTTTAGTACGTTTCTTTTAAAAATCAATCTGTTGGTTAAATGTGTTTTTGATTAATTGTATTTTTAGCAGCAAAAAGGAAAAGAAAAAAAAAGATTAACGGTATCAATTTTTTCCAAGGAAGGCATCCATGTGAAACCAAGATAGGTAGGAGTAAATGACACACAATTTTTTTTTTTTTTCAATATATACACATATATATATATATATATATGTATGTAAATAAAAAAAAATGACACACAATTTCAATACATACATACATACATATTCAAATAACACAATTCAATTGGAAAGTGTAGATACAAACAACGAATGGTTGAGGAACACACAAAATCTGTAATGTTTAATTTTCCATTCTTCACATAGAAACTTCTAGAGATGCAAAGTGAGCATCTTACATTTGCATTCGAAGGTGCAATTTATCAAGAAAATTAAGAATAGCACATAATTAATAATTTGTAACAGGAACTATTTCTTGGGGATGAACTAATTGAAAGTTTAAGTTCGCAGGCAGTTTAGAGTGACTGAAAACTTTTATAGTTCCACGAGTCAAAGTGAAAATTTGGTTGGAAAGTTCATTAATTTTCCTAATCCTATTCCTAATTTTAGAAGTTTCCATGATGACATAAGCGTGTGCATGCGCATCTTCCTTGGACCTAAATTTAATCCCTAAACAACATTGAAAATTTGTCGAAAATCTTGAAATGAGCTGTTGGACTGGGACTTAACGAGGCAAAATGCAAATCTCTTCATGCTTCCTATAACTCCAAGTGATCATTTCAGACTTCATGTCACATCACATGCCGTATGCCAAGGGGGAAAAGAAAAATTTTAGTACGAAACTACGTTGTTCATTTCATCGATTTAAGTTTTCAATTTTAGTTTTGATACAGTTAAAAGTTCTCATAAAAAATTATATTTAATTTTTTTTACTACAGTTTAAAACTCACATAAAGTCACATCTGAGCTTGAATTAAAAACTCGAATTAACGAACTGAACGAGGTCTATGAATATAATATATGTACAGTGCATTCGAAGGATTCTTGTATATGTATATATATTCTATATGGGTGGACCTATCCATAAAAGAAATATTATTATTATTATTATTTAAAATGTTAAACGATTGGTTCAAATCAAACCTCAAAAATATTTGACAAACGCTTGTTCATTCATAGTATGCTTATTTTATAAACTCAGACTTTAAAAATTAATTCTGTTATAATATTTTTTTTAAAAAAATTTAAATTTTAAACGATAAAATTAAAAATCATTATTTGAATATAGTTTTCCAACCGTCTTTAAATTTTTTTGGTTCAAATCATTTAAACCTGTCATCAAACAGGCTCCATGTTATTTTATTTTTATTTTTATTTTTTTTTTCCACTGAGGATTGATAGCACTTGAGCAAGGAACCGAGTAGGAGATGTGGATTTAAGACGATCGACAAGTGTGAGGATACGTGTGCCAAGATATTAATAGCGATGCCAAGAACGACAAATGCAAATTGTAACGGGGGCAAGGCAACACAGTTAAAGAGTTATTGTCCATTAAGGAAACTAACGAGAAGTTTCTGTCCATTTGTATGTTTCATTTTATTTTGGTGATGCAAGTCTATTTGTTTATTTATTTCTACTTCAATAATTGCATAATTGATGGTCAAATACCCATAAATTGACCAGATACCCATTGAAACTTGAAGGGGAATGGTCAAATTTGGAAGAAAGAATCAACCAACTCACTATATTAGGACTTCCAATAATGTTTTGCCACTTGCTTTAATTTGATTTTCCAATTTCCATTCTCAAAAAAAAAAAAAAAAACCGACCATCAAGTACTCTGCCTTAATTTCTTTCCCAAATTTGATGCTAACATTGTTTATGAGTAACCATTCAAGTTATATATTTCAAAGTAACCTTAAAATCTTTCTCGCCTTGTCTCTTCTCCAAATTCAGTCAAGGTTTTCTATTCTACTAAGAGTTCTTCAGTTGACATGTTGAGTATAACATAAGAATAAAAGACAACATAAATAATGCCACTATACATTGTGGCAAGGACGGCAAGGCCAGCATATATGTAATTCTATATGAATAATAAAATGTTGTACCATGAAATTTTGGAGAAATCATGGTCACATCACATGGAAACAGAAACGTAACATGCTGCGGAAAATCTTCAAAATCTCTCTTTCTGAATCGTCGTAACGAGCAAGGAAACAACCCGTCTTAGGCTCGAGACCATCAGAAATAAGACGCGATTGCAAAATGTTTTCCTTGTTGGTTTTCTACTGAACTTTATTACAGTGTCAAATGACAATGCCTACTTTCATTTTTCCTAAACTATCTCCTTGATTAGTATGGTCCGGTAAAAGAGATAAAATTCCTATAAGGTTTTAAAACGTGTGGTCATAAAAAAATGTAGATAAAAACTATATTAGCGGCCCCAAAAAAAATCAAAAGAACACATCACATAAAGCTCACATCACAGAAAGGAAACTTCAATGGCTACTACCTTTCAACATTTGCTCCTTCCACCTTCTCCTTCGCTAAATAAGGTCACTTCTTCTCCTACTATTTCATGGATTTCCTGCAAAACCAGTTCGGATTCGATGCCTTCTTTGGACATCAATTCACTCTCAAAGCGGCAGAGAGGAGAAGTTCTAGTCTCGGTTGCATTTAATCCATCTGGGAATTATGACCTCTCTTTGTTTGATGATGAAGATGGTATGTACCGACTCGTGACGAAAAGTTCTGGAATTTGTGACTTTCATTACAAATTTCTCGCACTCTAGTTCAGAACTTGTCTTTGGAAATATTCTAGTGTGCTAATTTGATAATTTACTAGTTCATATTGATGGAAAAAGTGAGGAAAATTTGTGACTTATGGTGTGGCAAGACTCTTGTTTATTTTAGACTAGTTGGGAGGCAGAAAGAAAAATTTTTAAGATTTGTCATGCATTTCTTTTTTTTTTTTTTTTTTTTGTTTGAGAAAGATTTGTTATGCATGTTCCCTTGCAATAAGAATGAGTTTTGAATTAACTAAAACCATTTATTATTAGAGTTATATTTGAATTTTGACTTAAAAACGTGTAAAGGTTGACATATATTGATATGTTATTCTATTTTATGCTCTAATCGATTTTTGCCATAAATTTTATGTTTTGGAATTTATAGGAGGAAAAGTTTTAATTTTTAGATAATTTAAGAAATGGCAATTTTGTAGTTATAGTTATTAAGTGAAAAAGTTGATATGTCAACCAACGAGAACCAAATGCCAAAATTTAAAGTATAAGATACTTAGAACTAAATTTAGCCCCAATGCATCGAAGATGCTCTTAGTGAGATTCATTCTTATCAAGTCAATTATTTGGCAACAGGGTTTTCATACAGATTATAGACTCATTGCTTATCCCTTTGAGTTATTTTTTCCTAACCAACAAGATAACTGTGCATTGTTTTGTTGACAGATTCACCAAAAGTTGAACCTCCATTGCCACCAACTGAAGGGAGATTTGAAATAGTTATCAATAACAACATAATTAGCCGGCTTGACTTGTCTCCATTCCAAACTGTAACCGGAATTACCTCTCCTTCATCAGGTATCCTCTAACCAACTATGAAAAAAAATCTTGTTTGATATGTTCTCAGTTGTTTATGACGACATAGTAAGTGACAAAATTTTACTGTTAATATGCGGTTTAGTCGATCCAAAAGAGTTTCTTGAGCGAACAATTGGCTTCACCATAAATTACATCAGGGAAGATCCAAATGATATTCGAGAACTCTCCGAAATCCCCGACATAAGACTCTGGTTTTTGAGGCTTGATGCTGCTTATCCTTGGCTGCCCGTCGTGTTGGACTGGCGGGCAGGAGAGCTTGCTCGATATGCTGCCATGTTGGTTCCTCACCAGGTACTGACTTTTAATTGATCACAAAAATTAGATGTCAATCTAGCCCAAACATGTCAAATAGTATTTCCTGAATGGATGAATAACCATTCACTATAGCTGATTAAAATGGTTCTCTGGTCTAATATTTGTGAACAATTGTTTCGACAGATGAGCATGAAAATGGGTGTTGTGTTCAATCCAGAGGCACTGGAATTGTTCATCTTGCATAAAGTCTTCATTGTGTATTCATGGTTAAAGGAACATGAAATTCCAAGGCCTAGACTGAAGACCGGTGACATGGCTAGGATGCTCGGATTTGGAATTGGTGATGAGCTTTTTGACTTGATTGACAAACACCAAGTTTCTACATCGTAAACCAAAAAGACTAAAGATCCCACATTTTTTCCACAAGATTTTCAAGATCAAGAATTATGTTCAGTAATTCCCCTTGACTTGTGTTAATCAGTACTGCAAGAAGAAGGAGCTGCACAAAACCCCTAGATGAAGAGGAGAGGAGTAATCAGTGTCAAAAAGGAGCTGAATCCACAACAAAGACTTAATAGACCAAGAAGAGCTCAATTTCTTCTGTAATTAGAAAGAGCATAGTATTTTGCTTTTTTTTTTTTTTTTGGAACTTCAACTATTTATGGGGGACCTCTAGATTTGATACAATGTTATCTGTGGCTTCCATTACAAACAGAAATAACGAAAAAAAGAGGTCAAAATTCTAAGTGTTACAAAGGGTCTGTTGTGTATAAGCCAGTAGACTTGCAAAGGGTCTGTTGTAATGTATTTTTCAATTCTTCACCTAGAAACTTCTAGAGATGCAAAGTGGGCATCCTACTTTTGCATTCCAAGATGTAATTTATCAAAGAAAAAGAAAAGCGCATAATCAATAATTTGTAACGGGAATTATTTCTTAGAGATGAACTCATTGAAGTTTAAGTTCTCAGGCGGTTTACAGCGACGAAACTTTTAATTCTACGAGTTAAAGATCCCGTTCATTTTGCTTGTTCGAGTTAACAACTTGAGTTAAAAAGTAAATTCATGTGAGAAAAACACCGTAGTAGAAAAGGTTGAATTTGAATTTTTATGGGAGAAAATACTACAGTAGAAACTTGAGTTAAGATTAGAACTAAATGAAACAGAGTTAGTGAAAATTTAGGTCGACAGTTCATTAATTTTCCCCAATATCATTTGTCCTAGGTTGATAGAAACGTCAATACGAGGAAGTTGAGTAATGTGGCTGGAGTCTTTCCCGCGCTTTCTCTAGGTATTGGAGAAGTTTACATTATAAGTGATAACATAAGCGTGTCTGCAAAAATTTTTTCCTTCTTGGTTTTTTACTGAACTTTATTACAGTGACAAATGATAATGCCTACTTTCATTTTTCTTAAACTAACTCCTTGATAAGTATCATCTGGTAAACTGAGCATGAAAAATATGTATGTATTAATTAGAAGAAATAATTTTTATTTATTTATTTATTTTTTATACATGTATTGAAAAACTAGTATATCTTCTGATATTTTGGTCAAAGGGAAATTGTTAACTCTCAAAATGCTTAAACAAACTTACATAAATAGATTAATTAAAATCAAGCAGAATAATTGGTAATTGATTTGCTGATTTACCAGGTTGGCTGCAACAGAGTAAAATCACACTTCTCTGCTATATTTTTATTTGAAATTAAAAGAAAAACTAAACAAGGGAAAGAACTTTGTGTTCCCAGTGTCATCAAAATATCAATCCAAGTCAGGTTCTTTTGCCCACAATTGATCCATTACCATCAAATTCTCCATAATCCTGTCACCGAAAACTAAAAGAAGTCGCATTAGTACCCTTGCATATATTAGGCCTGCTAACTGAATATAAGCAAGTAACAAAAAAACAACTGAATATGAGCAAGTAACAAAAAAACATTCAACTCAAAAGACTAACAAAATCATTACCTTGTACAACCACCAAGACTCCAGCAGTTCAAAGAGAAAAAAAAAAAAAAAAACGGAAAAAAGAAAAATTGTATAAGAATGTGTTTTAGCAAAAGGAAAAACAGAAAATAAAAGACTTGCATATCCTTTACTTAACCAGAGACGAGTGAATTGTGTTTTATCAGGTCAATAAAGATAAAAATAAAAAACTAAGTTTAAGGAGGGTTGGAGGGATGGAGAATGTGAAAGATGGAGAGGATTATGATAATTCTTTATGTTGTTCAGTAAGAGGGAGGGAGAGTTGAGAGGATAAATGATAATTTTTTATTTAATTACTATATTATATGTTTTGTTATTTGTTAATAATTTCTTTTGAAGGGTAAAAAATTCAATTTTTTTTTAATTTAGGGTGGATTAGTTAGATCCTTCATCAATAGAATGATCCAAAATGGTAGGCACGGAAGGCACTCTCTCTCTCCATATTTCCTCTCCCTCCTCTTCTCCTTCTGTCCAAACAAAGGATTCACCCTCTCCCTCCACCCCTCTTCCTCCCTCCTACCAAACATACCCTAAAAGAAGAACAGGGCAACCTTCAAAACAAAAAAATTTAGGGAAAAACAACCTTGTCTTTTAAGACCAATCCAAGTCTAAATTTTTATTTTGGTGAGATAAATATCCCTCAAGGCCTCAGAGTGAACCTGTCTTGAACTAACAGAATAATCCCGTATTATTAAAGACAGACAAACAAGTTACCAAGGCATTTCACAATTGGACCCAATTCATAAATTGCCCAAAAATGTACACCACGCAGAGAACAAACAAAAAATTTTCTCCTTCCAATCTCAGAAATATCATCAAACACAATAATAAAAGGAAATCCATCCAAACTCTACAATCCAAGCACAGTACTAGTGAAGCAGCAAAAGTACCACACGAGAATTTATGCAACATTTAACCATGCAAAATTTTCAAAGTGAATTGATGCGAACAAAATTCCATGCTTCGGGGGATGACATAAAAAAGAAACCACTGATTATAAGAACTAATACTCATATAAAAGGTTCAAGAGCTAACTTCTGACTAAATTTCCCCAGTGGTTGCATGATCCAAACCATAAAGAGTCGTACTTCTTGGTAACAAAATATAAGCCAAAAAGTGTACAACCCTAGGATGACTAATCACATGATTCAACCTATAAGAAACACAACTTCCTAGTGACAATTATAGACAATCTACAAACAAAAGAACACTAAGAAAAACACAATCTCATATTTGAACAGAAAAACAACAAACGAAAATCAATCAAACCCAGCAATAAAGATTGGTTGTAAAATGAAAAAGAAATACGATTAACCAATATTTAGAATACAAGTCAAACAAAATAGTACCATACTAAGTAATTTCTAAGAAGAGAAGCATTGCCGACACCATGATGCAGTGGAATGGATAAAATATGATTTTACTGGCCTAACCCGGGAGGGACATGGGGGCGTAAAAAAGGGGATCCTATCAACTTGTTCCGACCTAGGATAATAAGCTCATGAGCTTAGTCTTACTTCACCGTCGAGAAACGAAAGAAGACTTCCATCTCCAAGTTTAAATTAGACGTAGCTCGCTTGCTTCTTTTTGGGTGTGAAGCAGTGTCAAACCAAAATGCCCAACAAGCATTAGCTCTCCCTGAAAAGGAGGTGATCCAGCCGCACCTTCCAGTACGGCTACCTTGTTACGACTTCACTCCAGTCACTAGCCCTGCCTTCGGCATCCCCCTCCTTGCGGTTAAGGTAACGACTTTGGGCATGGTCAGCTCCCATAGTGTGACGGGCGGTGAAGACGGCATATACAAACCCAAATCTACCTAAAGAAACCCAACAACAATGCAACTAAAATTAATAATTACTATATCTAAATCTCGCTACATCACATCATTATAAGTTCAATGCAGATCTTCCTCTTTCAGATAGTACAAGAAGAGTTTTTTATCAGCAGGACTGGACCTAAAAAAACAATAGAAGGGGGCATGGTCACACTTTGTCATATCGAAAAATCAAAATTGAGAAAGTACCGACCAATAAACACAATATGCACACTACTGAATAAAGGAAACTTCTTTGTTACTTAAGAGAGAAATAATCACAGCCAAACCTCTCATTCTTTGCAAGTACTCAAATGTTTAAGAACAAAGTAACTTCCGCATGATAGAACAAATACTTCTGGCTTAGGAAAGGTAACATTGTTCACAATACTTTAGTGATATGAAGTGTATGTATCGCCAAATTTTAACAACTTGCTGATCATTATAAATTGAACAATTTGATAACAAGATGGACACAGAGATATAAAATGAAAATGATTGTTCTACTAGAATATAATATACTTTTACAGAACAAAACCTCATATAAATGCAGATTTACCGAACAAAACCTCATACAAATGCAGATATATGCTGCTAAACACCACACAGAGTATAGATACCAGATAATGACAGTGAAGCATTATAAATCCAGATAGCCTTTGATTCACACACATATCTATGTTGCAAGACGCAAAGGCCAAGCCACACGCTAATCTACGCCGTTACAATTTCTCAAATCAAAATGCACCAAAACTGAGGCCCGCTAATTCCCCATAAAACCCCACAGAAAACCATCAACAAGAAAGAATAGCAAGGTTTTTCCACAAACAAATAGAGCAAGAATGCATTATTGAAACTAAAAAGCCAAAAAAGTGAAGATCTGTTTGGAGGAAAAGAGATCGGAAAAGAGCAAGAGATTAGTACTTTCAAAAGAGATAGAGAAAGAGTTGCTGTCAGAGCTTCAATTGGCTGTCAGAAGTCTGCTAGGGTTTTTCTTCATAGCAGAAAAGATGGGAGAAAGAACGATACAGAGAGGGAAAAGATGTGAGATAGAAGCCGGGGAGAATAGCCCGGCAAATATTCTCATTTAAATTTCACTTTCCTCGCTTATTTTCAAAGAAAATAGAATTCACCATTTACCAAATAGCTTTTCTCCTAAACCTTTTCGCTCAAAGGTAATTTACCACATGAATGTTCTCATCATTTCAGAACTAACACACTTCATTTTCAACTGAGCAATAACCAAATCTCTCTCAATAATTAATGAAGTGGAGTCCCTTTAAGAGTTGGATTTCTTTCTTTATGACTAGACAAGGCAAACTCTCCATCATCTTGGATCAACAGGAAAGGACTGTTAAAACTTGCTCAATATTATGTATATTGAGTCCTAAATCATCAATAGTAACATTTGAGAATCTCAAGCCCAAAAGGCACAAAGAAACTACCTCGCACTCAGAGACGAACCTGCTTTTCTTCAGTGGATAAATGATGTGCAATCTTTAGCTGGAAAAAATTCCCAATAAAATCATCAATTATTTTCTGGGATTACATTTCTCTTTCTATTCCAACAGTCTTATCTTTCCCAACAAGGTTTTGATCATTCTCCACGACATGAAGCTGGCCGAGATACATCTCCAGCAACAAACTCGCTTACGACGCCATTAATCTCAATTGAACTACAGCCAGGCGTCTTTCTCACTCCAAAATCTTTCATGTTCATTCTCACCTTTGTCATGTCTTCCCACCTTTCAGCTGAGGCATAGATATTGGCAAGAAGCATGTGAACACTAGAATCACTTGATTCAATATCTGCCAGCCTTCTAGCAACTCGTTCACCCATCTCCACATTTCCATGGATTCTACATGCACTAAGCAACGCACCATATAGTGAAACTAATACCGTATTACTATCATTTGGGATTCTTTCTATCAACTCCTCTGCTTCATCTAACAATCCTGCTCGACCAAAAAGATCAATCAGACACCCATAGTGTTCATACTTTGGTTCGATCATATAAATTTCCATCATCGAGTGAAAGAACTGGCGGCCTTCCTCAACCAAGCCTGCATGACTACATGCACTTAAAACACCAATAAAGGTAATATCATCAGGATTAATGCCAGCCTGTCTCATTTCTGAGAACAACTCCAGTGCTTTGCTACTCCTACCATTCATGGCAAGCCCACAAATAATTGAAGTCCAAGCGGCTGTATCTTTTTCCCTCACTTCTTTGAAGATTTCCAGAGATTTGTCAATACACCCACATTTTGCATACATTTCTATAAGAGCAGTACCAACAACAGCATCAATATCAATTCCATTTTCATTTATGTAGCCATGAATCCATTCCCCTTGCTCTAGAGCTCCCAATTGAGCACAACCTGTGAGCAGAGCAACCATAGTAAATTTATCAGCTTTAACTCTTTTGCTTTGCATCTCCTGGAATAGATCCATTGCGTCATCAAAACGATTATACTGCACATATCCATTGATCATAGCGGTCCAAAGCACAACATCTCTAACAGGACTTCTGTCAAACAATTCTATAGCTTCATCAAGCTTACCGAACTTTACATAACCAGATACCATACTAGTCCAACAGATGACATTCTTAGTCGGCATCTCATCAAAAATTTCCCGGGCCACGCTCAACCAACCACATTTCGCATACATATCCAACAACACATTGTTGATTCTGTCAGTAAAACCAAGCTTGTTCCGAACATAATCGTGAATTTCCTCACCAAGTTCCAAATCTTTCAGTGCTCTACAAGCTGACAGGGTGCTTACAATAGTAGGTTCATCAGGCTTCACGTTGCTCTCTAGTCTCATCCGTCTGAAAACACTAACAGCATCAGAAAACCTCCCCCACCTCACAAACGCAGAAATAGTGACATTCCAAGAAACCGAATCTCTTTCAGACATTTTCTCGAACAACTTCTCGACATATAAAAGCATACCCAAATGACCATACATGTCAATGAGCGAGTTACAAACATAAGTATCAAACTCAAGCCCGGTCTTCACCACAAACCCATGAACCTTTTTCCCTTCCTGAACCTCTCCCAAACACCCGATCGCTTTCATCACAAACGGGTAAGTGAAATTATCAGGCCACAAACCCTCTTCCCTCAAGCGCTCAAAAACCAAAATGGCTCTTCTAAAACTACCCTTCTTGGTTAAAGCCTTAATCATAACATTATAAACGAACAAAGTTGGTTCTTGAATGAAACCGAATATCTTCTCGGCGTACTGCAAGTTCCCAAGAGATGGGTCAGTGCAGAAGGCCATGATCTTGTGGAGAGTGCCTCTGCTTTGCTGTAATCCCCCCATGAAAATCTGGGTCTGCACTTGTTTGAGCTGGTTCAAGGTTTTGCAGTTTTGGAGATATCTTATACATGACTGTTTGCTTAGAGTGCTTTTGAACGAGTTGGTTGAGAAGAAGAAACGGCGGGAAATCAACATGGGCAATACCGAAATTGGAAGAACTACTCAAAACGTTATGGCAATGATCTACATCTGCAGCTAGAAAAACAAATTCTCTGATTTACCAATTTAAAGGGCACAAAAGTTGTATCTTTTATTTTTCTTTTGAAATCTAACCGCGTAATCAGAAATACCGATTATGATATTCACACCAAGTAATGGAACTTTCAAGAAGTTAAGACCAAAAATCTCAAGAGAACAAAACATAAAAACACGCACAAAGAATCGTCAGGCGTAAAAGCTTCAAAATGGTGCTTTCCTCTTTCCAATCCTCTTTGCTTGTCATTGAATTTGAAGTGGAACTTTCTTTTTCGCTTCTTTCTTCCCGTTTCACGATCTTTTCCAGCTGTGAAAAAAGTGTGAAATAGAGGTGGAAGCTCGGCCGCCTGAGACAGTCCAGCCCGAACCCGGCGGGACGATGCAAATATAAAAGAAAATATATATGAAAAAATAGGGAATTTACTTTTGAGTCTTGATCTTTACTAATTATATTAATAAAAAGTAAAAATTTTAATCCATATCTAATATATATAATAATAATTTTAGGTTTAGAGTAGTGCTAAACTTTCCGGCGACGGGCTTGCCCGATGTCCGAAAATTTTCAGGCACGGCGGGCAGGCCCCTCTCGCCGTCCGAAAATACTTTTCTTCGGGCACGGGCTCGGGTAGCCCGAAAAGAGTAAGCCCCCCGACAGCCCGCTGCCGTGGAGAAGGCGTCCCCCGCCGTTCGCCGGATTTTTTTTAAATTTTCCGGCAATACCCGAAGCTGCCCGAATTTGTGCCCAAATTGCCTGTATTTTTTGTGACCGTTGCCCGAATTTTGCCCCGTGCCCGAAAAATGCCCGATTTTTTTTACCGTTAGCCCAAAAAATGCCTGAATTTTGAAAAAAACGGTCTTTTGCCCAAACCCGAACCCGAATTTTGCCTGAATTTTTGAACCCAACGGTCGGATTTTGTGCCGTTGCCCGAACTGCCCGAAAATTTTGTAGCCGTTGGACCCGAATTTTTGGGGGAAATTTTTTTTTTTCAACCCAAAATTTTTCCTATAAATACCCCCCTCCCCCCAACCATTTTCCTCATCCCAAAACTCTCATTCTCTCTCAATTTCTCTTAATCTCTCTCAATTTCTCTTAATCTCTCTCAAATCTCTCTTAATCTCGCTTAAATCTTTCTCGAATCTCGATCTCTCTTAAGCTCTCTCAAAGCGCTCTCAATCTCTCTTATTTTTCATAATGGCTTCTTCTGGTTATGGTGGTGATATTCCCATTGATGCCCAATTCAACATCGAAGAAGGGCAATTTCCTAATGTTTTTCAATCGCAGGAATCGCAAACTATGGAAAGAGTTGCTGATCAAACTGCAAATCCGACCCCTGGTGGACGTACTAGAGGTCGGGGACGCAATGGTGGTGGCACAAGTGGCCGTGGAGGAGAGGCAAGCGGTAGTGCTAGTGCAAGTGTTGCAAGTTCTAAGAAGAAATGCAAGCGCACCTCAGCAGTTTGGGAGCACTTCAACAAATTCGAGGACATTGACAATAACAGTAACATTAAATACGTAGCTCAATGTAAATATTGTGGTGAAAAATTACAAGGTAACACTATTCACGACACTACACACTTAAGAAGGCACTTTGAAAAGTGTCTTCAAAAGCAAGGAGGCGGAGATTAGCTCCGCCAAACGCAATTATCGTTTGACCGCCAAACCGGGGGTCTAAGCACGTGGAAATACGATCTGCAAGTTGATCGTATGAAAATGGCACGGTTAATAGCCACATTAGATTAACCACTAAGTTTTCCTAAACAAAGAAATTGGCAACGTTATATTAAAATTGTACATAATCCTAATGCACAATTTTTTTTTAGAACTACTCTTAGGAAAGATGCATTAAAATTATATAAACAAGAAAA